GGGCCCCGCTCACCCCGCAGTGCCTCAGCACCGTGCTCTGCTCGTCGCTGCGAGCCAAGACCGAGGGGAAGAAAGGGACTAATTAAGTCACAAACAGAGGAAGGGGTTTTTTTTATGAGTCACTAAGCCATATGGCTGATGTAGCTATCCCGGGAAAGTGCCGAGCCAACAATCCGGGCACTACCCTCCCTGTGCTGGGACACGGCGTCACACTGTAATTGCACCAGGCTTTTGTCCTCCCTCACGCAGGGTGACATTGTTCAGCAGAGGAGAACCTGCTTGAAAGGCTACACCTCACCAGGGACAGGTATTTAATTAACACCCTGCGTCAGGCCCCTCCTGCCAGCCTCCAGCACAGGCTGCTCCATCCCAGCACAGCACGGCTCACAGGGCAGAGAAAAGCCCTGAAAGGCAAAATATTGACTTTGCTCCTTTCCCTCTGCTCCATCACAGATATACATAGAAACTACATGGGACACTAACCTGGATTTGAAGCCAGGCCAGTGCTCAGAGAAGCTCTCAGTCTCCTCAGCAGCAGAATCACTCCTGCACCAGCACAACTGGCCCCTGGTTGTGGGCAGTGAGGGGACCCAGATCCTCAGCAGTGGCTCTGCTTGCTGCTCACTTTGTCACCAACCATGTGCTGGGCTCAGCCACCCAAATGGCTCACATTCTTCTTCAAAATCCCATCTCGTTTCTCTTTCATTATTTTTAAGTTTGTCACCGTCCCATCCCAGTTGATCTGCACTGGCCTGACGGTGGCAGTCACCAGTCAGGGAGGTTAAAAGCCACAAGGATTTTAGAAACAAAGTTTAGGCTCCAGGAGCTGGGGATCCTCCCCAAAGGCTGTCCCCTGTCACCACCACTGCCTTGCACGTGCTCCCAGTGACCCATCCCCTCACCAGGGCTGCAGCCGCCCTTCCCTCCACTTTCTGGAGATGATCTCCCTGTTTTCCCTTGTTCAGCCCTGCTTTCCTACGCCAAGGACAGCGGCCAGGCTCCATCCCGGTGTGCTTGCGTGCCCAGCTGCGTGTGCCTTCCCTGGGGAAGTGAGAGCGAGGGCAGGGATCGACCAGCTGTCAGGCAGAAGGAAGAAATACCACTTCCAGGAGTCAGAGCTCATTTCCCAGCAATAAAAGCAGGCTAGGGCTGGAGAAAAGCACCACTAATGGGGATGCACATCCCGCACCACTCCAGCTGCCGATAGGAAAGTACGCAGGGGCTGCAACTTGGAAAAATAAAAGCCTTCAACAAGGGTTGGTTTAAAGCAGCACAGCCCCAGATTAGGCTCAGATTGGGTCATAAAGGATCTGCCATTCCCCACACGGATTATTGCTGTGGACGATGCCCTCCACGTGCCAACCTCGTCTCCCTGGCTCCCAGCTACAGCTCCTCCAGCAGATGGGAAAAGAAAACCTTGCTGCTTCCTCCCAGGGAGGGGAATTGCTCAGACAAGCATCTGCCCTTAACCGCTCTACTCTCCATCCTCCTCAGCCCCATCATCCCCCCTCCACCCACCCACACTCTTCTGGGGACCTAAATGTCACCTAGAAATGAAGACCTGAAGAGTTTGTGCTTCCCAGAGTTACTGCTGGGTAGCTTTTACCTCCTTTTCCACCTATTTTTGCTGCACTTTGATGAGGAGGGTCCTCACCACTGAGCAGGCACTGCCTCCCCTCTGCCAGCTCCCACCCTCCAAACAGAGGGTGCGAGAAGGACAGTGTTACCTCCCCAAAACAACCCCGGAGATCCAGGCAGACTCCAGTGACCAGGATATGGCAGGGCCCAGCCTCGCCAGCCGTGGCAGGAGGGGACAGTTCCTGTGAGGCCATTACTCTGGGTTTTAAGAGACTTGTTTGTTTGTTTGTCGCTGGGCAACCGAGAGGATGGAAAAAAATATCAATGTCATATTGTCACCTATGAGTCACCGCTCGGCACGGGTCGAGATGCCCCCGTCCCTCACTGCTGAGCGCGGGGCGGCCGGAAAGAGCCCCAGGCACCCCAAAAGCTGCTCAGCCCAGCTCCTGCTCCCTGCTCAGTCCTGCCCCAACACCTTCCCCGTCCCCACAGATGGGGACTCCAGTGGCCTGGGGACATCGGTAGCCCAGAGACATCGGTGGCCCAGGGACAACTTTCCGGGCCCTGGAAGGCGAGGCAGGAATTTGCATTCCTATTTGCATTTCCTAATTGCGCCTGCGGGTTTCCTGGGGCAGCGGCTGGCTCTGGTTTCCATGGCAGGTTTTGTGCGGACCCGAGAACCGAGGGAGGCACAAAGGGGCCACAATGGACCTGCCACTCACCCGCATCAAAGGCGGCCGGCGGGGCGGGCCGGGGGCACCGCGGACGGGGCAGCGCAGCCGGTGCCCCCCGGTACCGCCGGCACCGGGAGCCCCGGGGCAGGGAACGGGGTGTCTGTTGGCCAGCACTCCGGGACTGCCGGAGCAGCGGTGGGGACACGCCACCGCTGAGGCTGCTCCATGGAGGAGCCGGGTTGCGGCCGCTGTCGCCCGCAGGCAGCAGCCGCCCCGCGCCCGTCGGAAGTGGTGCAAGAGCTGGACCCAGATGTTCCCCCTGTTCTCATTTCCTGTTATTTTCAGCCAGCTTTCCACCCAGCCGGGTGGGTTTCTTTCTCCTTCCAGTTTCCCTATCCACTCGGGGACTGTCTCGCCGTCCCGGCTGTCTCTCCCTGTCCCGGCTCGCCTCACACACTGCGGTGCCCACCCAGCCCCCGTGCTGACCCCAGGGAACCGGCAGAACAGCCAAAACCGGGACCCAAACCTGGGAAAACCTGGTCCCAAACCGCTGCTGCAAGCCCAGGGCCACCGAGCAGAGGTAAGGCTCCAGCCAACATCCCTCCACACCCCGACATGGTGCCAGAGTTGCTGCCACCTTGGCCACACCACAGGAGAGGGACCCATCTCTGCTCTGCACACCTGCCAAGGGCTTGGGCAATTACTTCAAGCTTTTTTCTTATTTTATAGCTATCAATTACCATCATCATCATTAACTCGTGCCACCCAAAAGCCTCCCAGCTCTGCCCACGAGCAGCCTGAGATGCGCCAGCGAGCGCACCCACAGGGTTACGGCAACAGCCCCCACCCACCCCGGGACTTTACCCTTATGGCACAGACCCCGGGCCCGAATGACCCTCCAGCTCCTCTCCCACTTGGAACATCAGTGCCCACAGCATCCCCTGTTATCTGTGCCCCCGCAGAGGGGGGTTGTGCAGGCAGATAAGCACTGAGTGCTCGCTCTCGTGCTGCTGCTCCCCGGGGCAGAGGGAACCACAGCACTGCCACCATGGCACAGCCACTCAGCCCCACCACGGACCCGGCTGGGGCAGCAGGTCAGGTGTTGGTGCGTTCTGTTTGTTTGTTTTCATTTGAAAACTCTTTTTAAATAAAATGCTGGAAAAGTCAAAGCTTTCCCAGGAACTTTGTGGCTGGGAAGAGGATGGGCACCTTTGACAGAAATGCTTCTGGCAATCAGAGGCTTCAGCACCGGAAAGGGGCTGTGGGCACCCAGGGATCAGTGTGTCAGGCTCTGCTGGCATCAGGCACATCTTCACAAGGAGACAGGCACTGTCCAGGTGGTTGGATAACATAGTGGGAAAGGCCACATGTGCACAACAAGGAGCTGATGGCAGGGTCTCTGCCATAAGGACCACCAAAAGCTTCCCACTAACCCCACCAACAGCACTGACCGATCTCCGCTCCCAGAGGGCTCCCCTGGGGTCTCGCTGCCCCGGTGCCATGCTCCAGCCAGCCACTTCCACAGGAAAACCTCCGTGAAAACCACAAAAAGCTTTGCAGCGGAGCAGATGCCACTCAGCCTGTGTTGTCAGAGATGGAGGAGGAGGTGAGGAAAGCCACAGCTTCCCCAGCCGTGGGGCAGCCCCATCAGCAAAGCCCCACTGGCAGCCTCAGGGGTCAGCCCAGGATGGCAGCTCTCCCACAGAAATCCTTATGGCTCCGGCCCCTGTGTTTGTTGTCAGTGGTAGCAGCAGGAGGAGGTGTGAGGAGGAGGTGTGACTCCACTGCTTTTTAAGAAAATAATAAAAGGGAGCCTTTCCAACCCGCCTGTGAGACAGACGGTGCGGGAGAGCGCTGCTTTCAGCTCTGACTCGCACGGGAGAGGCAGCTCCCAAACCCTTCCCCATCACCCTGTGCCCACAACCCATCGGCGGCAATTTCGGCGCTGGACGGGAACTCCGGGAGAGGAACAGCCTGGCAGGACAGTGCCCTCCATCCCTATGGAGGATGTGAGGTCTGGCTGCCCTGGGCACCCGAACGGGGGGCTCACAAATGACCCCAGTAGGTGACCACCAACACCATGGCACGCCAGGGCCCTGCCGTTCCTGCACCAAGCCCTGACCCACCCGGCAGGGATGCTGGGGGTGTCGGGGATTTCGGGGATGTCGGGGTGTGAAGGGCGTTGCTCCATGAACCCGGGGATGGGGAGGATGTCCAGCAGCAGGAAGGCACCAAACCCAAACCCGCGGCGCACGGAGGGATCGCGCTCAGGGAGCAGCGACGCTCCGGGGCTGAGCGGGACGCGGGTCCTGCCCCCGGCCGGCTCTGCCGGCCCCACGCGGGGACGGGACCCTCACCCCACGCCGGGCCGGCGGGCTCGCCCCCCTCTCCCCCCCCACCCCGCCCCGAGGGCTCCCCACGCGGGACCCTCCCGGACCCGGCGGGCGCGGGGCCGCGGCGGGGCCGGAGCGGCGGCGGGGCCGGGCCGGGGCTGCGGAGGGGCGGTCGGGCGGCTCCAACAGGCGCGGCCCCGGCCCCGCCGCCGCGGCCGCTCCGCCCGGGCCCCGGTGGAGGCCGAGCCGGCGGCGCCGCCGCTCCCCGGCCGTGCCCGGCGGGGCCCGCGCGGCCCCGGGCCCGACCCGCGCAGGCCGAGCGGCGCCGCCCGCCCCGGTCCGGCCCCAGCCCGGCCCGGCCCGGCCCAGCCCGGCCCGGCGCACAAAGAGCCCCGGCCCGGCCCGCCCCCCTTACCGGCGGTCGGCGCCGCGCTGCGGGGGCGGCGGCGGCGGGCGGCTCCAGTCACGCCGGGAACCATGGAAAGGAGCCGGGACGGGAGACGTACGTGGCGGGCGGGCGGGGGCGGCCGTGCCCGGCAGCGGGGGGCGGCGCGGCGGGGCCGGGGCCGGGGCCGGGGCCGGGCCGGGGGGGCGCGGGGAGCGGGGCCGAGCCCAGTGGCTGCGGGGGCGGGGGGCGTGCGGGTCCCCTCGGGGCTGGGTCACCCCCCCGGGCCGGGTGTCCCCCCGGGAGCACCGAGGGGCGGCACCGCCCGGCCCCCGCCGCCTCCCGGGATGAAGCAGCCCTGACGGGGGCTGGGGGTCTCGGGGTCCCCCCGCTGTCCCCAGGCTTCCTTGGCACCCCCAGCCCTGGGGTCGGCATCTCCCACCCTGGGCAGCCTGTGGAGGGAGCAGTATCCCGAGGATGGATGGATGGATGGATGGATGGATGGATGGATGGATGGATGGATCCCAGCTCTCCTGGCTCTCAGCCTCCTCCACACATTTGGAGTGTCTCGGGCTCCTGGAGCTTGGACCCCCAGTCCCGCGGTAAGGAAGAAGACATGCTACTGCTGCCCCATGGCTGAGCATCAGAGATGGGGTTGTAACAGAGCATCACTTGAAGCACAGACAGAAAACAGCCGTATCCCATGTCCCGCGCTCCAGCTGACAGCTCAGGACGGGAAGTGATCTCGTCTTACAAGTTACACAGGGCAGACACTTCCCCTTCCACAGAGACCAGAGTGAGACCATGAACGGCAGCAGGTCAGAGCCCCTGCTTCCCTCGCGGCTCTCCAAACCTCCCGGACACGGTGTGGGAGGAACCCACATCCCTGGGCACCGTGGCCTCCACAGCACCCTGCTGCATCCGGCCGCTGCGATGCACGTCTGTGGGTGCTGGAGCCCAAGCTCACATGTGGGATGGTCCAGGGCTCTGACAGGACAGCTCTCCATGCTGAGGTTTTTCCCACTCAATCGTTTCATCCATGTCTGGGAGCTGAGCGATCCTGGGTTAAGATCTGGAAGGCTCTGACAGGGAACTCAGAGATCAGTAAGAGCGGAAACACTGGAGGCAAACCTTTGGCCTTCAGTGTGTACAGAACATGTGCCACAACATTCTCTCCCCCAGGTTAACGCAGACCAGACTCTTCCAAGGCACAGCGCCTTGCAGCGAGCTTTGGTGGCTGCAATCTCTTCCTAATCCAGCCTTGTTTCAGGGAAAACAGGCAGTTTTATATCCCTTTGATATGGGTCTTAGCTGCCAATGACACTAGGAAGTAAAAAGAAGTGGGAATAGAAATATACAACTACGAAGAATTAATAGTGAATGTAATTCAGCCAGTTCCAACAAAATTGGTTATTCCCTGAAAAACAAGCCTTGCACGGAAAACACAGAACACAAACGGTTTTGTCTTGACAGCTGGTGAGAACAACTAAGTGAAAAAGTGAATGGAATATTTCTGACTTCTCTGGACAACAAAAAGTTCCACACATTTGTAAAATGTCCTTTTTTTTACTAAATGGGTTGGTTGGGAGGCAGGGACTGTAAATGCTCTGGAGGAAAGCAGAGGTCTGTGCTCTGACACAAGCAGTGATTGCAGATGCCAACGGTGTGACTTTCAAAAGGCACCAATGCTTCCTTAAAGGAAAACCCAGGGCTTTTAAAAATCATAAAACCACTGAATGGTCTGGGTTGGATGGGACCTCAAAGCTCATCTCATTCCAACCCCCCACCAAGAGCAGGGACACCTTCCACTAAACCAGGTTCATTCAGAATAGCCCAGAAACCTGAAGAACAACAACAACAAAATATAACATTTTTAAGAATCATAAGCCTGGCTTGCCCAGTGGTCCTGATCTGGGCTTCAGGGAGATGCAATGTCTGACAGAATGATGTGATGCTGTGGCGGTTGCCAGCTGAGGAGGGAGCTGGCTGGACAGCCTGGCTCAGCTCCTCTCAGCACTGAAATACTCTTTCCAAACCAATACCAAAAAAGGGTTGTTTCTAGGTCAAGACCTCAGCACTCAATTTTAACCAGGGGCTGACAGTCCAATCTGAACACAGCTGTAAAACGGATTTGCAGGAGAAGCTCTGGCATTCTTTTTGTAATTAGCAAACAGCCAGTGAGCCATGTGCCTTTAAAGGTGAAAGCTATTTTTGACATAAAAATTAGCACGTAGTTCCTCTGTCACCCCTCGGCTGCTGCACGGGGAGCTGTGAGCGAACAATCCAAAGATAAGAAGTATAAACATGCTGAATTAAACAAATGCGTAGAAGGGGATCAGGTTTAATTTGTTTTATTCTCTGACAATTAGAAGAGATTTATTTTTACACTTTTTCTCTAAAAAGCATGGGTTAAAAGGTCCACTTAAGCACTGAGACCTCAACGTCATTTAAAAACTTGAAGCGCTTTTAATAGCTGCCTTTTGAAAACACTGTTCAATCTATTTTTGAGATGGATAAACTCAGCCACCAATGAGCAGGGCAGGAGTTTTCCGAAGGGCCCAGCACTGACAAACTGTTGTTCACTTCTCAACAACTCAGCTCCCACACGGGAACTCTGAGATAAAAAACACCAGAGTGCTGGATGCTTCAAAAACCTGAGCGTTCCTCAAATCCCAGTTTTCCCTCCTTCTCTCTTTGGTGGGAATCTAACCCTCTCAGCCTTGAAAATGAACCCCAGGTGGTTTTCAGGATACAGCTCTGAGTGGCTGTTTCTAAAATAAAAGTGAGGGAAGAGCAAGCAGAACTTGGAGGCTTATCAGCACCCAGAATGCCCCGGCTAATCCTCAGCAGCCCCGGCCCCTTTATGTAACCTGGGATTGCTGCAGCTCAACAGCTTACTGGGGTCTGGGTGGTTTTCTTTAAACCTCTCGTGGACAAATGCAAACACATTAAATACTTCTTTCTTCCGCCTCTCTAAAGAAAAAGTTGTTTTAAGAGGGGGGAAAAAAATGTTTTGTTGGTGAACAAGGGCAAATAGAATTAAAGTCTTATGCTGAGAATAAAACGTGTTTCTCTCTGATCCATCTTGACTGAACAGAATCTTCACAATGTACAACACTCAGGTGTAACTCTTCAATAAAAGGTGGAATCCCGGATTTCTCCTCACCCCAAACACCCTCTGGAAGTGGTGGGGTGTTCCAAATAAAGAGAAAAACTGCCCATTTATACCATTTACCCCACTCCTGGCAGTGCGGGTGGCTGGGCTGCAATACTTACGTCCCCGTGGCCGCTTCCAGAGCCGGCACCCGCGGCTCTCCTCGCGCGGAGGACGCCCCTCTGTGCCGTTCATCTGACTGCTCTGACTGTCCACGGCACAAGTCCAAGGCAAAATTCAACTTTTAAAACTCTCAGTCGGTGCTAAGCCATTCACCTCACGCTGAATGCTTACGGAAACTTCAGAAGGAAAAAAATAAACCCCCTATTGAACTCCTTGCAATCGGAGACCTGAATGGGCTCGATATAAACCCCACTCGAACCAACGGCAGCAATAGGCTTCCCTGGATGTTGGACTCGATCCAGCTTAAAAGTTTCCATGAAATAAACTAGGCTAAGCACATCAGCTGCATAGAAACTAACTCGGTGTAACAGGAGCATCTGTTCTTCACAGCCACCATTTTCCTAGAGCCTTAGCGCGAGGTGCCGCACGGATCACCGGCCGTGACAGCTCCGGCCCCGCCGCACGGGGACGGACATGGATTAGCAGGGAGCATGCACGTCGGATAAACTACTTGACCAGGTAGCTTTTGTTTGTCAGAAAAACAGCTTAATGTATTTGGTAGGACGGCATTACAGAGCGCAGTCAATGTCCGCACTGAGACAGCTGAGGACACCTCGGACCCATTAATACACGGCACAAAGCAAATGTTTACCCAAGTACAAATGAAACAGGTCGACAATTAGCTAATGCAGCTTTGTGGACATAAACCAGGTACAGTCGAGCAGAACCAACATAAAATAAAAAGGAAACAGCCCTTTTCCTATGCCACGCTAAGAGCACCATGGTTAGTGGTTTGGGAAGCCTCTGTCACAGTGAAAAATTTCCTTGCCGGTGTTTAATGTGTTTATTCTACTGCTACACTGCTGGGATAAAAATAACAGCAGCCAGGCTGGGCGAGGGACCCACTGTCAATACTGCAGTAATTGACAACATACAATTAAGTCTCACACCTGTTTATTGTAAGTAATTCATAGATAACCACTTCTAGTACACATTTTCATATTGGCTTTTAATGCTTTTGTTCTTTTTTTTTTCCTTTTTTTTTTTTTTTTTTTTTAAGCTCAGGGACACCCAAACTTCACCTAAGGGTCATCTCTGTGGTTACCCAGACCCGGAAGGCTACACCTACTTTGGAAAACTGGTGCAAGGTGGTGTCGTGGCCACGGGTCCCAGAGATGGCTCACAATCTACAGGTCCCAACATGCAGGGGGGCTGTGGGGAGGGAGGTTGGGGTGCATGCGCCTGGGGCTGCGGGCCGGCCGTGCCGCTCCCCGCCCGCCGAGCTCCACACAGGGCAAAAACACAGACCTCTACACAGCTGGAGTAAGAACAGTGGTAACAAAGTCATAGCTACATATTCTTCTCTACATTTTTGTTTATTGAGACAAACTAATTAAAAGGCACAAACATAGGGCATATGTTTACATGGACATTATAACAAACATATACATTAAAAGTGTAGGAATGTGTTTCCTTTCTGCTAAACAGAAAGTTCCTAAGCTTTTATATATACAAAAGTTGTACAATTTGATGTCCTAAAGTACAAAAGATCATTTATAAAATTATTTTACACTAAGCTCTATTATTTTTTTTTTTGTCTGTTTTTGTTTTACTATGTAGTCCAAGCCCCTAGAACAGTTTCACATAAGGATACAGATACCTGTCACCTGAGCCAGCAGCCTGGCAATCACTGCTCGCACGGACACGGCCGGGGAGGAACGGAAGCAGTCCAGTGTGACTGGTCAGTCCTGCTATGACTCTGTGAAAATGCACACGCTAATCTCCAGAGCTCTCAAATTCATTAAGATAAAAACATCTCAACTGTAATTTCTTTTTTTTTTTTTCCTCTTTTTTTTTTTTTTTTTTTATTTCATGTAGAGTCTTGGGTTTAGGGTGGTTTGTTTGTTTGTTTTTTTAAACAAAGTTTTAAAAATGTGAATATGTGACATGATAGTCTAAAAAGTATATCTGTTTCCCTAGATTTTTGCTTTCTACTTTATGTACAGATAAACAGGTTAAGAAATAAAAAGCACATGTAGCTTAAACATGTGTGACCATTTATGGAGCAGTTCTGGGCTGGACAGCTCAGCACCCCAGAACTCCCACAAATTCATAGAAATGTGTTAACACAATAGAAGAATAACGTAAAAATGATGATGTTTGCAAATATTTACAAAGTTGAACAGATTTGCACAACACTTGATTAAGAAATAGGGGAGAAATTAAAAGACGCTCTCTGCTTGTCCTGGAGGGGCATCCTACCTAGTTAGTGGTTAGAATAAAAACTGTATACAATTTAATATAAGACAAAACTTCTAGTGAACAACTAACACGTCTGTCCCCTGCTGGAACACCAGCAGGCTCTGATTGGGAGGCAGAGGGCATAAAAATCACACCCAGGGCCTCCAGAATCTTCCAGCTTAAAGCAATATTTCTTAAGTTTCCAAGCACTCCTTTTGCTCCTAGATAAGAGTCCCATGGGGGTCTGACTGTTCAGAGACCATGTTTACATACATTTCGACTCCTCTTCTGTCAGCCATGGCTGTTTCTCACCAAACAATAACAGTTTTTTTAAAAAAAATGTTGACTACAATGCTCTATTCCCTTAGGGTAATATGTTGGGTAATATTTACATCTCCAAATATCAGGTCACAATCCCTATTATATGTTGAAGTTAGAATGATAAGTTATCATATGCTTTGCATATCAGAGCTGGTATCACCTTTCCCATAGGGAATGCTGCCTGAAATTATCATATTCCCAAAGGTAAAATGCATATTTTCTCCAAAAATGCATTTTTTTTTTTTTAAATGACAACATTGTAATGCATTTACTCATTAAAAAAAAAAAAAAACATCAACACAGACAAAGGTTCTACACTAGCTCAGAAACAGTGGACTTGCCTGGCAGGTTAAAATGAGCCATCCACCCTGTCACAGATACAGAGGGGTCTTTGCTAGTGTTTAGATTAAAATAATTTTCTAAGTTATAATTTGAGGGGATAAAACATAAAACTGTTTTTTTAATTACCTTTTTTTTTTGTTGGTTTTTTTTGGTTTTTTTTTTTTTTTTTCTTTAAAAACTCTGGCAAATAAGTATCTGCTCTAATTCAGCATCAGTCAGCTACAAGGTAAAACTTACTTTAAATGAAGTGCTCCAGTGAAACTCAAGCCTGAACCATGTGAGCCAAATCAAGGGGAAGATGCTACTGTGGTCTCTGATGGTGTTGCCCCAGTGTCTTAGCCTGAATTTATTATGAACTAAAACAAAACAAAACAAAAAACCCAACAGAACAAAACAAAACAAAAACCAAAATAAAAGAAAAAAAAGAAAAAAGAAAAAAAAACCCAACCAAACAAAACCCAAAAAAGAACTGCTGGTAAGGATTCCATTTTAATCCTTTTTAATACTGTTTAGAACTTGTTTACCAGGGAGGAGAGGTGGGCAAGGCCTGGGGCAGGAAAGGCATGCTCTCCACTGGTCTCATGGCTATGTTGAGGGGGCCAGCCAGCGTCATGGGGGTGGGCAGGTTCATGGGGGACGTGATGGTGACGGGGTGCGCTATGTTCACTGGAGCCGTGACCGGGGTGGGCAGGTTCACCGGGGTGGTGAGCGTGAGGGGCGAGGTCATGGACAGAGGACTGGTTATAGTTACAGGATGCCCTAAGTTCATCGGACTGGATATATTAACTGCACTTGATACATTTACTGGACTTCTCATGCTCATTGCAGCTGCCACTGTGACTGGGTTTGTGATAGTCCCAGAAGCCACAGAGGACGTTATATTGAATGGAGTAGTAAGAGTCACAGGCGTAGTAGCAGCAGTGGAGGTTTGGCACAAGTTAGCAGCTTCTAAAAATGAGACATAAAAAAGACAAAAAGTTTTTAACACATAAAAAAACCCCATGGACAAGATTTAAACAAAACAAAACAAAACAAAAAAAACCCAAAAACCAAACAAGAACAGGTACAAATTCCGGAATAATTTTCTTTAGGAATTATTAGTAAGTTAAAACTGTTAACATTCTATAGCCTACAGGAAATACAAACTCTCATGCAGGTCATTTCAACTCAATTTTTTTTTTTTTCCTGAGAATTCAAGTGAGGTTGTCTTAGCAAGAGGGTTTCCATGTTCATAAAAACAGTATCGTACAATCAAAAAAATCCTCCCAAGAGGAACATTAGAAATAGAGGAGAGAGTGTACATACCGAATGGTACGTACTCTATAGCCTTCTCAAAGGTGAACTGACATTCTGTGAAGGTTTTAAAAAGTCATTATTAGGGACTGATAAGCAAAGCTCGTTTCAATATTTACCTGCTTATTTCAGTCTTAATTACTGCTACTTAATTGCTCCGCTGCTCACAGTACCTCTACTCCAAGCCTACCCCAGCAGTACATCCTTCAACCCCCTTCAGCTCCTCAGCTTCCACATTCGTTTGGGGTTTTTTGGGGTGGTTTAGCAGCAAGCAGGAATGAAGTGCTGAGCAAGGGAGACCCAGGAGGGCAGCGGGCAGGGGCTGGGGAGCAGGGCCGGGCACTGGGGAGCAGGGCTGGCGAGGGGGGCCGAGGGGGGAAGGAGGGCTCTCTACACATCCATCAGCACCACCTGCCGGCTACCCACACCAGGAGGCTCCAAAAACAGGAGGAGGGGAAAGGGGAGGGCTGACTACTAAAGAAACCAGGGAAAATCGTGTTCTACATCAGCGTTACAGCATGGCTAAGTCGTGTCTTATTCCACATTTGTAGGGCAGGACCCCAAGCTCAGTTACACCCACGTGTCAGAGGTAAAACAGGAGCAAAGAGTCCGCTTTGCCACTCGGGCAATACAAATGTAACTTTGAAAGCAACATTAGCCCCATTCAAGGGTTACTGTTGGTTCTTCAAAGTCCATAGCTAGGAGGGGTGGAAAGGAAGGGAAAGAGTAAAAAAAAAATAAAATAAAAATTGTGAAAATAAATTGTATTAGACTAAAAAATCCCATCTAGTGTTGCAAAGCGACCACAAGTGGCACCAGCACAGGAGAACCAGCAAGGAAAGAGCAGCTCAGGCATGGCACTGACTGGTCTAACTTCACCTTCAAGCACAGTCACACCCAAAGACACATCCCACCCATGCCCCTTCCCCAGTTAAACAAAGCTAACAGCATCAGTCTGACACCACTCCTACCCACCCACCTCCCTCACCCCCCATCCTGCCCCAAACCACTTCTGTTAAAGCACATTCAATAATCTCAATAAGCAACAAAGGGAAAAAGGAACAAGACATAGGAAGAAACAAGCAGGAAAATAATTCTCAAGAGATTTTCTAAATCCAACACCCATTTGCTTTATCTGCTTAGTGGCCTGATGATATTTATGTTTCTGTTATCAGTACATCTTAACATAAATAAGCTGTTTCTATACTGCTTAGAATTCAATTACTGGCATAACAAGGCAAAAGGAGCAAACAGCCTAAAACACAAACAAGACCTAGAAAAGAAAAACAGATTGAAGAAACTGAAAGGAAGGTTAGGAGAAAAGAAAAAAATAAGGTGAGTCAAAAACATTCCTAAAAACAGCCAGTGAAAAACAGTAAATGGTCACTAAGAGCTTCTAAAACATGTAATCCACAAGAGTCACGTGACAGGCATTAGAAATCAAACTGTTGTGAAACAAATAAGCAGCAGTAATGGGAGAGTTTAAACTACTATATCCTAAAAACGCTACACTGAAGCAATTTGTTCTTTACAAACTGACACAGTGGCCAACAACAGGAAGCAATTTCTCTTTGATTATGGCAGCACAGGTAAGGTAAGTTGTGATCCAGCACTAATGAAAAACACGATCACTGATTAGTTCATTTTTTAATGAAAAAAAAAGCAACAGAGGGAGAAGGGTAAGTTCTCTGAGGTCTAGAAAAAGTCCAGGAGAGTTAATGATGATAAAGTAGATGGAATAAATTGGGAGAGAGAAGATGAACAGGAACAGAAAGCACACACATGCAAACTGGTGACACAAAGACAGAGGGGGGTGTGTATATATACATATATATATATATATATACACAAGTGAACAAGGGTAAATATGCACAAACACAGCTCAAAGCCACATGCAAGTCAAAGCCCACACTCCTGCCCTGGAGCAGACACAAGCCTCCCTTTGTAACTGATGGCTGCTATAGACACAGAGACCAAAGAGAGCAAGCAAAGAGGAGTTCATGTAACACAGCCTAATCCTGGGCCTGTTTCCTCCTGCTAGTTCTGAGCTGTGACTTCTAACACCGGGAATGCAACTGTCCTGTAAAACATCCTTCCTGACACCTTGACCTCCCTACAGAACTGCAAACTGCACTGCCTCACAGACCTAAACCCATCAATACTGGTTTGGTTTACCTTTCTTCCTCGCTTTGACGGCCTCTTCCCACAATCTCAGGGTCTCTACCTGCTTTCCAGGCCAACTTGTTACGTGTTGCTGCTGTTGCTGCTGTTGCTGCTGCTGCTGCTGTTGTTGCTGTTGTTGCTGCTGCTGCTGCTGCTGCTGCTGTTGTTGTTGTTGCTGTTGTTGCTGCTGCTGTTGCTGTTTCTGGTTGCTGGTCTCTTCACTCATGCATGCTATGCCAATTAAGTAAGAACACAAATTCACCTTGAAAAGTTACTCTGTTTTCTGCTGAGATCACAAAGGCAACTTCCATAAAGAGCGTGTGGAATCTCACAGGATTCCAAGAGCAAAAAATCACAGAGATATTTAAAACCATATAATTAATTCTGTGCTTTATAAAACTACTTTTCCAAGACCTAAAAACCAGAATATAAGTCAAGAACATCTGCTTTAACTGCCAAAAATTGACTTCCTTTCTGATTATTTAGTTTGTATTTAGGAAGAATGAAATCAAAGACTCCACTGAGCCTCTAGAACTCAAGCTGATTCCATTTTTTCTAAACCTCAGCTCCAGCTCAAAAAAAAATTAAAAACCTTTTTATTTTTTATTGCAAGTGTGACTTAAAACTTTCAGTTTACCTTTGCATCACAGAACAGCCTGTCACTACTCCCTGGCCACAGTACAGCTCATCATTCCCACCTCTAACAACTGCTCTAAATGCCTCATGTGAACTGGCTTAGCACCACCATACTGGCTTGGGAAGCCAGAGCTGTAACCCTATACCTTAAAAAATACTTCCCATCCAAATTTCCTACTAAGCTCAACAATCAGGCATTTCAGGCATTCCCAGTACCTTCAAATTATCCAGGAGTAACAGGAACAGCAAAGATGCTGTAAATTAATACAGTTTAAAAGGCTTTAGGACGAAGTCAAAGACATGCTTTACTTCTTCCTCTTGTTCCTCTGAAAACCCATTTTATATTACTAACTCTGTGGGTTAACTTAAGTTACAGGTATGTGAAAGTCAAGTCTTCATTTGTTTGCTAGGCACTCCCAGGTCCAGGCTGCAGCATCTCCACAGAGGTTAAGACCAGAAAGAACTACTACAAACATCTCATCTGACCTCCTGCACAACACCAGTCAGATGCCATTAATGCCCAAAACACATCAGGGCTGGATTTAAATCCTCTTCTTGTCAGCTACTGCCAGAGGGAGGAAACATTAACCCTTGGGGTCAAAGCTCAGGGAAAGCACAGAAATCTTTCTCCTAATTTTGATGAGCTTTAGGTGATGCTTTAAACCTGAAACCTGGCAGATTTTAGCAGTTCTTAAATAGCCTAAAATCTCCAAATTATCTGTTGGACTTCTAGGCCTGCATAGTTGAGGAAGCACTGTAATTAGAAGGTGAGAAAACCTGGGCACTCTCACAAACTGCAGGGCATTCCTAAGGGACAAGAGCACAGTCTAGCAGCCAACCAGTTCCCCACATGCCAATTCTTGAGCTGAAGCAGATTCTGTTACTAAATATCTACTTTTGAGAGGTGTGACCACCCAGACTGATGGGTTCCTTGCACTTTCACGTCATCAAAGGCAATTCCCTTCGCACGCACACTGTTATTAGAAATGTTTGTAAAACGTTCACCTACTTTTATTGATGCCTTGTTTACAGGTATTACAGTTGATACTTTGGCTCTGCCCGTGTGTCTTTAAGTGGCTGGTGATATATGCTGCACTCAGAAGTTTACCACAGATATTACACGATACCTTTCCTTCATGGCGCACCATGTGTGTCCGCAGTCTGTCTTTGGTGGCAAAGGCAGCAGTGCACGTCTAGATGGAGGACAACAGTTACACTTGAGGTGCAGACAGCAGCATTACAGCAGCAGTTAAGGCCCACTGAGAGCCCTTTTTACCTTGCAGGTCCTAACAGTATCCTAAATGTACCGACAACATTAAGTTTTACCTGTATTTATAGAGAAACCAAAATCAAGCTACTGAAACAGAGATTGAGAGTGGTACTCGTTTCTGAGACAATCAGGACAAAAATCATACTCAATACTACTTGAAATTTCTTAAAATAGCAGGTTGCCTTACCCTCCAAAGCAAGAGGGAGCTTATAAAAAAGCCTGGAGCAGGCAAAGTTGTTTTTTGATATAATTTTACTGTACAAATATGAACTTGATCTCTTGAATTGCTCAATTACGTCTGTTCCCATCCAGAACAAGGAAATAAAACCTCTTCCTAATGCTATTCTTTTTACCCGAGCTTTTTATTTAATAAGATGAGTCAGTAAAACAGAGGTTGGAATAAGCATGGATATTCCAAGCAAAACAGTTAATTGTTCAAGGGCAATTTAATTATTTCTCTTAGACTCAGTCATCAACTTACGACAACTTGCCTTCCCCTTCCAGCAAAATAACAGATCCAGAATCAAGCATTCCCATCCATTTTAAATAGATGTACTGAGAGACATTTGATTTTAACATGCTGAGAAACACACTGCACACATTACTCCACAAATCAGCACTGAGCTGAGGATGCTGTTACAACCCTACTACTAAGTTAAGCATATGGTAAAATAGAGCAACTATGCTGTTCTCCAAGACAGCAAAAAGCCTCTAATCTTCCTAAAAAAGCAGCCACAGCATCTTTTTAAACTTCCACCAGAACTCCAGCACTGTGTTATGCGGGTGGATGTGCCTTTACTCCTAAACTTGCTTATCAAAGGAAAGCCTGGGAGCAAATACAGCTCTGGAAAGATTCACCTGAGATTGTACTGATACAATAAGGTATTGTTCTTAATAAATCATTTTAGCCCTTACTTGGCATTTGAAGGGTCTCTCTGTTGAGTGAACGTGTTTAACGTGACAGCTTAAATGATCAGGCCTGCAAAAAAGAGAGCAACAGGAGAGAAAATGCACTGTTACAAACACACAGTAAGGAGACCTTGGCGAGTGGGCTGACACTGCTGAAGACCCCCTGCAGCCCCCAGAATAAATACCTTCCCCTCACCTACCAGTGGGTGTCACCCAGAGCTCCTCACAGTTACTCTGGGACCCAGTTTGCAGCTTAATCCTTAACCCTGTTCTCCTTACACACCCAAAAATGGTACATTTGGTCACACCTTGTGTAAAGGTGAGAGCGCAGCAGCTGTAAAGGTTGATGTTTTCTCTGCTGCAAGCACAGGTACAGACACAGCCAGCAGCAATGCAAGCTCCCCCCAGAGCTCTGTCAGTGCCCTCAGCCCTGCTACAAGACCAGGTGACAGTTTACCTGCCCTGCCCCATTCGGTCACAGACTGTGGCAAAGGTTGGTAAAGGGGCTCTGTGCCCACCCCCGTGACACAGACTTGTGTCCTGCAGGACCTGGATGACGTCGTGAGGCCATTTCCAACCACTCTCCTACAAAAGTGACCGCTTTTGGCCACTGCTAACCTGGCTCAGATGGAGACCCCCACCCTGGAGGCAGACAAGGCTCCTTATCCCCTCGCCAATCTCCTCAAAGGCCTGGTTCTCCCAGCCCCTCGCTCTGCCAGCTTAACCCTTCCTGCGTATGAAGAGCCAACAGCGGAGCGCGCCTGGGATTTGCTACACGGTACCTCGAGAAGCCTTTTCCACAAACACCACAGGTGTAGGGTTTCGTGATGCCCCCCTCGTGAGACCTCACGTGGTAGGTCATGCGATCCTTTCTCTTGAAGCGCTGATTGCAAATGGGACATTCGAAGGGTTTTTCGTCGGAGTGGGACAGCTTGTGCCGGTTGAGGTGGTAGACGTCCCTGAAGGCCTTTCCGCACATCTCGCAGGCGTGGTTCTTCTTCACGGGCTTGCTGGGCTTCTTCACCGTCTGCGTCACTGCCATGGCCGTGGCGCCGGCGCTGCTGCTGGGGTTGGTGGCAGAGGAAGACGTAGTGACAGTGGACAGGATGCCTGCGATAGTCGAAACCAGTGAACTCCGGCTGTTGTCACCAGCGATGGTCGAGATAAGGGGCACCATTGTGGTGGGAGTTTTCTTTGGCCGTGACACTAACTTTATCCCTGTGTGGCAGGACTCGTGACGCCTCAAATGGTAGCTGTCCCTGAAAGCTTTGCTGCAGTAAGTGCACACAAAGGAGGTTTTAGGTTTTTCCTTTTTAATCCCAACAATAGCATCCTTTAATGTTTCTGGTGCAGGCTGAGGTTTCTGCGTTATTGGTAAGGGCAGAATCGGCTTCTGATCGGGCGGCTCAACAGCAGAGCTCAGGAGAGGCAACAAACTGTTCTGTGCTGCCTGCTGTTGGTGATGGGAGGCTTCATGTGCCTAAAACCAAACATTCACACTTAAATTCTCTGGATGGGTGCTCCCTTTAACACGGTGAGCACATTTACAAAATAACAGGAAAGCATATTCTAGACCAAAAGCCGTGGAAGGAACAACAGGGGAAGGTTACATAATTCTGGTTTTGGACAAGATAAACCGCTCGCCCTGTAAATGCACTCGCTGTGCAGATCCTGTGGTAAGTGTAGGACACAGCACAACAACCAAAGAATTATTAAGTTTCCGGAGGGCAACTTTTTATGGAAGACAACGAGATGCTTGTCAGATCTTTTACTAACATAGCGTTTGATCTTTACATAACAGATAACTCATTTTGCTAATGATTGTATCAGATGCCACCTTGGGACTGTCTCTGGAGCTGACGAAGGTACTGACAGGAGTTGCAAAATAACGCCCCACCTTTAAGTCAAGCTTAGTGCACACTGAAAATTGAACTGCAGCCACAGAGAGCCAGGATGTGATAAGGCGTCTTATTTAAACAGCGTGTCCATACCAGTGTGCCAGCACTGAAACCAAAGCAACTGGAATCGGGAGCTGTCTAAAGCCACATCTCTATATTTAGCAGGTTCCCGATGCATTTATCCACTGACCACTGTGCTCTCTGTGTCTGGAACTAACAAGAATAGCGACACGGCCTTTTTCTCTTCGTCAGCAGCTACTTTGTGCTAGGAAGAGAAGCGAATCGATACGCACTGGGAGACATCTAGAGATGCTGGAGAGCACACATGGGGGGGTGTTGGGAAAAAAACTCTGAAAGCTGTTTGAAAACAGCCAATACCAACTGACTTTGGACTACAGAATCAGTGGGAGAAGCTACAAGGAAGGGGCAGAGAGGGGACCGCGGCCAGCACCGCACAGCTGAGCTGCAGCCTGCGCCGCCACGGGCTGTGCTGCACCGTGCTTGGTTATTCTAAGGCAGAAAACCAGTGGATACTGTTATTAAAACTCATCCAGTGAGACTGGGACAAAACCCTGGCAGATACAATTTTAAAGTGGTTTAGAAACCACACAGACCAATTCAGCCTAATGGAGCATTAAAATAAATCACTCCAGCACCTTAAGCCAGTTTAAGCGCATCTGTATTCAAGATGTGCCTCGGTCTCATCAGACCAGTTTTAAATCAGGCTCGTTATTAGCGCAGCGTGCCAGGCCTGAAGCTGTGTTTGGGGAAACTTGCATTCCCATTAGATCAGTATTGCAGCCTTCCAGGACTCCTTTCCTACAGCTTCCCTTACAAAATAGTACGACTCGAGGCTGCGAAAGCTGAACCAAACACTGTGCTGGCGTGTGACCCCAACCTGCCTACTTTTAGATCAGCTGAGGATGGACAGTGCTAGGGAGTGCACTCAGGCTAATGCTCTCCCCACAGGAATCCATTTCAACATGTCCTTTGGAGAAGCCAGTATTTCTAGCAGCTCACTTTGGGACCTTTTCCTAGTTGGATCTGGAGGCTTTGCCTCTCTGGATTGCAGTAGGCCACCCCAGAGCACCTCTCCCTGGCTGCAGGGTGGCTCCTGCCCCTCACAAGCCCTTCACCACTCCAATCTCACTTTTCAGGAGAGTGATGCTGGTGATCTTTGGATAAAAAGCACCAGGGGATACCAACACTAACCTGTGTGGGGAAGAATATGAGCTCCCTAACACTCCAAGCCTATCTGACAGGAAAACAGTTCACGGGATGAAGCCTGGATTTGGGATGGTAACAGGAGACAAAACTTGTGCGAATCATCAGGAGCCAGGCCAGCCTGTCCGTCTGTATCTGCATTTTCCATCCTGCCTGTGCCCAAGGTCAGGATGCAACAGGTAGGCTGGATATTACCACACCTGCCTGGCCACAGCAGCCACCTCAAACGACAGCCCCAGGGGCTGCTTTGCAGAACGATTGCTGAAGAGCAGGATCCAGAACTCTCCTGGAGGCGACGCTGCTAAATCAGGGCACGGCACAAGCTCCAGCAGCTCCATTAAACTTTTCCCTGACTTCAGTGTCAATTGTGGATTTTCAACCATTTATCTTCCGTGTTTTTAAGAGGGCACTGAGACATCCACATTGCATGAAAATAGAGTCTGCACGATACACACCAACAGCACAGTATTGAGCAAGTTAAGCACTTGGATACAATTTTAATTTCAAAAAAATTTGAAATGTTTTACAACTTTAAATGAGCATTAAACAGTGTTGTTAAACTGCACCAGAAGACACTGCAGAGCACCTAATGATAGCTCCAGAGATACAGTTTCAAAGGCAGAGCTAACAGATCGGATAATGGAGAGCCCAAATCCTTTGGACAAGGTTCAAACTTAGGCAGTTTATGGATATTTTTAAGCCTCAAAGAATCGTCAGCACTTCAAGGTAATGATGCACTTATTCCTACGGATCCGATGGAGATAGTGGACATAAAACAATGTATATTCATAAGGCTACAGGCTATGGAGCTGCTGCTTACATAAGTCTGCTTATCTTGGTTCCCAGAGAGCCAGCGCTATTAGCACCGTCCTGCCCGCAGCCCCCGTGGCACGAGCCCTGTTCCTCAGTTTCCAAGGGCTGCCTGCCTTAAAGCCTTTTAAAAAAGGATCAGGCAGCATTTTTTTTTAACTCCCTGTTGGAGAAGGGAAGCAGCACCTGCTGCACGCCTCTCGCGGGCGCTGCTATTCAGGCTCCGACCACAGTTTTACTTGACCCAGAATTAACGTCAAGTCAACATTTTGGGGATATTTTGACAGCCTGGGACAGGCTCTCGTGCAAAACCCCCTCCTTCTGTCACTGGTTTCTTCCCTCACGGGGAGAGGGGGCAGCAAACAAAAAAACCTGCAATTCGTGACCCGGAGTGTAGGATGTGGCATTGTGAACTTCCAATGCCAGAGGCTAAAATATTTTTGTGCTCCAGCCTTAATGTGAGAGCAACAAATTAGGATGAGTCATATCTTGAACGCTCCATCTGATGGATGAGTCCTCCTCACATTAACAGATACAACTTTCGCTTCCCGACCAGATACTAAAAGTAGGTTTCCAAATAAGCATTTCGGGGACTAAGGAGATCCAAACAAGAACTGCTTATTCAGTAGCACGATTGTTCCTTTAGAAAGGGATACAATTCATCAAAATGCCACCTAAAAACAATCAAACAACTTTATTTGGAAGGAGCGATTTACAGTCGCACAGCCCATTGCTACAGGACTAAAATTACGACGTCGAAACCTCCTCTGAAAACATTTGGCTAAAAATTACAACTTTATATCCCGGGTATTTAACTGTCCCTTAGGAATCCTGTCCTAGCTGGAACACACACTCGGCTTAAAACTCCCCCCAGGAAGAATGAACATGAATATTCAGTCACTTGCATTTGTTACTTAACCGACACAGGGGAGAGGCTTTTAAATCCACTTTTTTTAACTAATTTTAACTAATCAGCCGGGTCTTAGCTGATGTGTGCTGTGAGAATGGGAAGAAGAAAGTCACATCAGGAGTACCTTAATGCTGCTTTCAGCTGGGTGCCTTGGGATGCTCGCAACCCAAATCATTGATTTTTAACAAAACCACTCCAGAAACGATATTCGGCATTTATTATGAGGTCTGAAAGCTTTATTAATTGGGGCAAAAAATAAGAAAAAAAATCAGAGGAAAATTTCCACATCACAGTTTTATGAAGATGCTTCCGAGTCGCACGCTGGGAAAGTGAACTGCTGACTCCTTAATTAAAAGCAGCAAAGGCGACTCCTAAATCAGCCTGTGACATCACTATTTCAAAACTCAGCACCTTCAAAAAACACGGACGAGCAGCGAGGAGCTGGACACGTACTTGAAAGCATTACTTGGCATTTCTCAGAGCCTGCTGCAATACCGTCCTGCCAGCCTAGGAAAAATTTCCCCTGGAAAGTGCTCAGCTGGGAGGCAGCAAGGCACTACACCAGCCCCGGCTTGGAGGGAGATGGCCCTAAACTAAGGAGATTAACTTCCTAGCGTGAAGTTTCCTACGTGCGAATCACAACTGCCCACTAGAGTGAGAAATAATTCACCAGACCTCAGCCAAACTCGATGGCATCACCCGCATCCATCACGAAAAGGCGGAAAACCCAGCGCCCAGCTCCCGGTACCGGCTCCCCGGAACATTCCCGGCGTGTTTTCGGAGGCAGAGAACCCGAGCGAGTGACTCATCCCTTGGTACTTGCAAGGGACGAATTTTTCCTCTCTAAAGGAACGGTGCTCGCTCTTGGCGGATTTATTCATTCAACTCAGGTTCTCAAACTCGTGTCACGGGTTGGGTTTGGGTTTAATTCCGAGGAGGACAGTGAGGAAGCGAGCGGCCGCCACCGGGAACGTGCAAAGAGGATTATTTTACCTTGAGAAAGGTGATGTGCTGGGCTTTTTTTTTTTTTTTTTTTTTTTTTTTTTCCCCCCGCTGCTGCTGCAATCACACATTTTATGTTTTCCAGCTCAAAAAGAGCAGGAGAAAACAATCCAGCGTGAAAGGGCTCGCGAGGCTCACAAAAGCCAGGCGAGGATTTTTTTTTTCGGATTTTTTTTTTTTTCTGGTACACTGGATTTTCTTCGGAATTACATAAACAGCGGCGTTTTTAAGTCAGTCTTTCGCCGACAGAAAGGGGGAAAATTGTGACTCAGTTGGCAAAGGGAGGGGTTGCACGCTCCACCGTCCCTATTCCTCCCCATTCCCGTTAGGATTTCGCCAGTTTTTACAGAAATCCGGCCCGCTCGCGTCCTATTTTAAAAGAAAACAAGCTCCCTCGTCAGCCGGCCCTGAGTCAGGCTGTTTAAAGAGGGATTAATTTATTCTCCCAGACACGGCGTTTGTTCCATCGGGGTTTTGTTAGAGCCCGGTGGAAGCTTGGGGTTGTTTTTTTTGTTGTTGTTGTTGTTGTTTTTCTTTTTGGGCGGGGGGTTGGGGGTGGAAGAGAAAAACAAACACCAAAAAAAAAAAAAAAAAAAAAAAAAAAAAAAAAGCGCGATTTCACGTTTTGGAGGGAGGGGAAAAAAAATAAAACACGACTACGAATAGACGGTTTGCGAGGGAAGCGGGAAGGGAGCGCGCTGCGGGGCGGCGGCGGAGGGAGAAAGTGCAGGAGGGAAGGAGCGAGAAGCGGAGCCGCGGGGCCCGTGAGGCGCTGCCCGGCGGGCCGGGCCGGGCCGGGCCGGGCCGGGGGCGGGCGGGGGCCGGGCGGCCGCGCTGAGTGACAGCCCGGCCCGGCGGGGACCGGCGGGGCCGCGGCCGTGAGGGAGGGAGGGGGGGCGCGGGCAGCGCCGCCGCCGCCGCGGGGCCTCACCTGAAAGAGGAACGCGGTCCAGTTGGCCTCCATGGCGGGGGCGGCGCGGCCCCGGGCGGCGGCGGCGGCGGCTGCGGCGGGCGGTCCCCCCGTCGCTCCCTCCCCCGGGCCGCAGCTACATGGAGCCGACAACAAAGCGGCGGCGGCGGCGGCGGCTCAACATGGCAGCGCCGAGCGGCCGCTTCCGCTAACCTCGGGCTGCACCACTGCGGCCCAGAGGGGGGAGGCGGCGGCGCGGCGCCCCGGCGGGGCGGCGATGGCCCGGGCGGCCGCGGCGCCGCCCCCGCCGCTCCCCTCGCCGCGGGGCGGGCGGCGGGCCCGGGGCGGCGCGGCGGAGCGGCGGCGCGGGCGGCGGGGCCGGGGCGGCGCGGCGGGCCGGCCGCCCCCCCCGCGGGGCTGGCAATGGGCCGGTCCCGGGCTGGGGAAGCCGAGCTGTGGCGAGAGAAGATGGAGGAGCGGCCGAGGTGTCCGGGGCCGCCGCGCCGCCCGCCCCGGCCCGGCCCCGGGGCCGCCGCGCCGCCCGCCCGCCCCTTCTCCCCTCCCCGCCCGCCGCCCCCGCCCGCCGCGCCGGCAGGGAGGGAGGGAGGGAGGGAGGGAGCCGCGGGGGCGGCGGGGGGCGGCTTCGCCCGCGGGTGCGGGCGGGCGGCGGTGCCGGGGGCGGGGGGGTGAGCGCGGGGCCGCCCCGGGGGTCGCCCGGCGCCGCCGCCACTTCGGCTCCCCCGGGCTCGTCCTCAGCCCACCCGGGCTCGTCCTCAGCCCACCCTGGGCGCTGCCGTCTGCCCGGGCCGGCCCGGCTTCGCACCCCGCCTGGCCGGGCTCCAGGAGGGCCGGGCCCGGCGCTGTCCCGCGGCCCAAGGCCCCTCCAGCCCTCCCCGGGCCGGGCCGTGTCCCCCCGGCCCTGCAGCCCCCGGGCGGTTCGGGCGATGCGGTGCCACCGCAGCCCCCTCCCCACTGCGCTGCCCCGCACACCTCCACGTGTTCGGCTGAGTGGATTCGCCCGTATCTGAGGCATCTGAGGCATCTTCAGCGCAGCACCTGAATGCAAATCGTAGCCACGAGCAATTAAATACATACATACCGTTAATTACGTGTTTATACACAGCAAGCACATCCCTGACAGGCAGGAGGATGGGACCCAGGGACAGCTCCATGTGCCTCCCCGGTGCTCCCAGGACAGGGAGGGATGTGTGGGACACCTGTGCCCCACCTCGGGTGGCATCTGAGGGACACCTGGCATTTCTTGGGTACCTGAGAGTGGCCGATTTAACACTGCAACAGGAGGGGGGTTTTAATCCTGACCTTCACTTGCCTTCCCCGGGGCTGGGGAGATGAGAACAGGCTTACGGCACTTTATTATTTATTTTCCCACAGCTCTGGTCAATCCTCTTTGCTCGGGCCTGGATCCTTGCTGAGCATCCGAGGCCTCGGCCGCTGCGGCACCGCAGGCGTGGGGAGAAACAGCTGAGCCACCCCAGCCACAGCACTCGGGGCTAAATATGGCTCCTGTCAGCAAGGCTGCCCTGAGACTTCCTCCCGTGCGGGACAGCCGGCTGGTTTTTCTTGTCTCCTGTTACAGATAATGCACAAGCCGGTCCCAAAGCCACAGCTCAGTGTAACGCTGGGGGGGAGGAGGGACAGCAGGGACCAGGGGACGCTCATGAGGGTCCCAGCCTGCTGGCTCAGCCGTGGCTTTGTGCAGCCTCAGGCAGGTCACCTGGCCCTGCAGCCACAGGGTCCTTGGCCCTCCCCAGGCGTTTCTTCACCTTCTGAGAGCATTGCAAAACAGTCCTTGTTCTGTTCCGAGTGACGCCTGCGGATGTTTCACGCCTCTTGGGCTTTTTTCCTTGAAACTCCGGTGCCAGAGTCAAGTGGTTATGTCAAAATCTGTTTGCATTTAAAACAAAAAAGAGTTTCTCAGCCCTGTGACCCCAAAGGGAAGTTTGTGGCCATGTGCCCGGGGGCTCGGCTGCCTGGAGTGGCCAGACCTGCTTGGGAGCACCTGCAGCTCAGATGGTCTGTCTGCCTCAGGAAATTTGGAGCCTGCTTGGTTTTGACCCCCCAGTCTGCACCATGGTGGAACTCTGTGCTGAGGCACAGTCTGGAAACATGCAAAATACCACCCTTGCTCTGCAGAGGCTCTGAATTAAGAAAAGCACACCAAAAAATGGAGCTAAAAGGGTTCTCCAGTGCACGTGCAGAGCTCGCATGGGCCCGACTCGCCTGGAGATGGTCTCTCTGCTCAGCCAAGATTCTCTTCCCAGCCGCTGCACGGGAGCAGCTGGATCATCCCCTGCTCCACCCCGTGTGCCAGCGCCCCAGGATTTCCCTCTCCTGCCCTGTGTTCCGACCCCGGCACTGCCCTCGGCAGAGCGGGGCCGCAGGAGAGCCCGGAGCAGCCCCGCTGGAGCAGAGGAGACACCACTGCCGCCCCTGGTTATTTTCCTCCTGGTGGCTCAGTTATTTTTGTTAACGCTTATTAAGGAAGACTTGGGAGAGCTCTTTGTTAAGGGCTCACACTCACTTCAATTAAAGGCTAAGAAAGCTACCCAAGCGTATCACTGACTCATCGGAGAAATCCCGACGAGCACGTAGCCGGCTAAACTCTGTGTTCTTGTTTCCACAACTAAAGAACCAAGAGGGGATACAGGAACAAAACCTGTAAGACTCAAAGCTGAGCCAGAGAAGAGGGAAATGGAGTTGGAGCCCACTTCCCTCTTGGGAGTGCCCGGCTGAACCCTCCCAGCCCCTCGTCCTGCAGCCGAAAACAGAGCTGGGTTGGGAGCAGAACGAGCCGAGGTGCTGAGAGAGTCCCCTGGGGGAAGGAGCTCGCGGGAGCTCTATTTAGAAAGGGCAAGTCTATGCCAAACCTGACGAACTTTCCTTTACCCAGAATTATAACTGGAAATCTAAAAAGCCACAGTGTTTGAAAACACATATTTACATTATATATGCCCCAAAGCAGAATAAACAAAGGTTAGATTTGTAAACTCTCCGTCTTAATTAAAGCAGCGCTGCTTAGGACAAACCCACATAACAGGTGGCTTGAAGTGTTGTGTTATTTAATTTATACCTTCCAGCTCCCTTAGTCATCGAGCTGGGACAGCGATAGCATCAGCAGCCACCCCGCTGCGCCGGCACCGCGGCGAGCGCGCACAGGGAATTTCTAGGGCACAGGGAACCGGGTGGCCCATTTACCACCGTCCCGAGGCTGCGCTTTTCTGCCTTTTCAAACACAAATCTTCCCTCCTTCCTTCCTTCCTCAGCGCTTCCCACGTTGTTGGGGCTGCCGGGTGTCCCCTGCTGCCAGTGCCAGAGCCGAGGCTGGTTGTGGGGAGCCTCCCAGGGACAGGCCAGCACTGGGGCTGCCCCTCGGTGTCACAGCCATGCTGTGCCCAGTGCTGGCACCTCCGAAACCCCCACAGAGCCCAGCTGATTGTGTCCCTCCTGCCACCCAGCACACGGCTCCTGGGGACATCACCTCCAGGAGAACCAATACCTGTCGTGCACTCGACAAACCCCCCTGGCAGGGTGACTCGAACAGAGGAGCTGCTTCCTCCACTGTGCTCAGCCATGGAATAGCTTAGAAGGTGCCTATTTGCACATGTGCCATGAGCTGTCCTGCCTGCTGGGATGGGATGTGGGGCAGGGCAAGGGATGCGGATCCCCTCCAGGATGGGATGCAGGGCTAGGGCAGGGGGATACAAATCCTCTCTGGGGTGGGATGCAGATCTCCTCTGGAATGGAATACATTTAACTCTACCCATCTTATCCCATGATCCTTGCAGCAGCCCCCCGTGCGTTAGGACCTGCACTGGCACATAAGCAATAAAATCCTTATTTGCTTTGCTGCTCTCTGTGCATCTCCCCTGGGTGTAGAGTGATGAGAGGCTGCCCACAGTGTGTGTGCACCCACGCACCCTCTTTGCCCGGGACCTCCAAGCCACGTCCCCCGGCCCCTGCTGACGCGCCGTGCTCCAATTCCTCTGGGCAAGTGTGTGCTTGCATTGCTAAGAATAGAAACTGTTGTCAAATATTTCAGCTTTAGAGAAGCCCCTTTCTGCTTGTGCTCTGCTCCCTGAGCGACGTGGCGGGCTTTGAATTTCACAGCTCCGTGGGGCTGGAAAGCCCCGAGTGTGTAAACAAGCTGTGCTGCTGGTACTGAGAATGTGCTCCCTGCAGGCAGTTTCTCTTCAGCTGCTTCCCAAGTTTGTGTCTTCTCTGGTTTCTCTGTTTGCAGCCTTGATTCCCTCTCAAACTGATCAGGCACACTAAAAAGAGACAGTGAAATACATCTGTGGGAAGCAGGTGTGGAAGCAGAGTGTGTGCCCACTGCAAGGATCAGCCACGGGATGAGCCAGCATCCTCCAAAGAGCATCCCTGACCTGCAGCAAAACGAAGGTGGAAGGTGCTGTGGGGACAGACATTCACCAGGCAGAGGGAAAGGGAAATGGAAACAGAAAGGGAGAGAGAAAGGAAAAGGCAAAGTGAAAAAGAAAGGGAAAAGGAAAGCTCTTGCCAGATAACTGCCCACAGTCATGGTCTCCCCCAGCCTTGGGGGTGGCAGTGATGCCCTGCCCATGCCCCGTCAGCGCTGCTGCTGCCGAGGGCACCGGATCGTGACTGGCGCATCTGAAAGATCGCTCCACTTTTCAAAAGAGGAAAATAGGATGCAGGAAATTACCAGCCAGCTCGGCTGAATCACTGAGGGAGGCAGGACAGGAATCAGTGGGGAAGCAGCGAGGAGCTGCTCAAAGGCAGGAGTGTTGGTAGCGGGACTGGCAGGGATGGCTGAGCTCTGCCCCGTGCTCTGTGTCCAGGGGTTCAGCACCAAACTTTGAGGTGCGTCGCTGCAGGGATAGATAAGGAGGGAGGGAAGCTGGAAAAGCCAGTGTGATGCCCAGGGCAGTGTAGTCGTGGTGCCAGGGCCACACATGTTGTTGTGGCAGCAGGGAGACCTCTGAGTCTGTGTGGATCCAGTGTCAGCTCCCACCACACCCTCCCTGTCCCGGGGCTCCTCAAGAGCCGGGCGATGCCCGTGCTCCCGCCAGGCAGGAAAAGCGTGATGGTTACTCCATGCTTCAAGCATTCCCTGGTGAAAGCATTCCCATGGCAAACTGCCCTGCAGTGGTCACTCCCTTCCCTGCTGTTCTCCTGAGCTCTTCCTTCCCCGCTG